AATATATTAATATAGAAATATATATTTACTTCATATATAACTATGTATATTAAAGATGCTTATTTAACAATAATTTGTTGATCTAACACATTAGAAAAACTGTCTAACTATATCATAAAACAATATGATTGTTGGGAACCAGGTCATTTAAAGAATTATGGGGGGCCAAATTTGTGACTACACCCTAAAGTCCTGTGACCAATGTGACCTGCCTTGGGAAACAGAAAATCATTTGGAAAGCTATGTGCTCTATGGCTGTGTGAAGAAAGCTCATAATCACAGCACTCCCATGGCAAGATAACATCTGCTGAGGACAATGTAAAGAATGCTAGTTCCTTATTAACTGGGGCAGGCATCTGGGCATAGGGAAGACCCTGATTCCCCTTGTAAGAGTTTAATCTGTTCACTGTTTTTCAAAATGTCTTTTCAATCAATCTTGTTCCATGAATGATGCGTGACCCCTTCTCCCTTTGCTTCTTGCTGGCTAATAAAAGTGGGTCCACTGGAGAGATTGTCAAGTCTGTCCGCTAGAGGCAAACTTCTCCTGGTACCCTTGCATCTTGGATATTGTCTTAGCCTCTCTCTATTCCCTATCGTTTCCCCCTGACAGGTATCAGAGGGTCTCAACAACCCCCAGTAAACGATCATAAATATCACCATAAAACAATACAGATTACATAAGCAATGCCCTCACCTCAGATACATCACAGCAATATCCACAGAGCCTTGGATGTAGAAGGGTGGCCTATGAACAGTGATTTGAAACAAATTTGTTCAGAGCTTCCATCCTCAATAGCTGTGTGGGGCATTTGAATGTACCCATGCTAGGGACAGAGAAAAGTACATGTTCCATTATGTTCATCTTTAAGATTTGAAGTTCCTGTCTGCTCTTAAAGATAGCCCAGCCAGGGTCACCCCAAAGGCAGATCATAAGGCCATTCTTTGTTATTATAGCTCCTGGATAAGGGTCCAGAAAACTTTGAATGCTGTGAAACTGACAGAGCACAAAATGTACCTGAGTCTCCTGCTTCCTTATGTCTCACCATGTCAAGAAATTTTTCTTTTAATGTGTGTAATGTTTGGAGCCTATGCAGCCTATCAATTCTCCAGCAAATTTTTCTTTTCCATTCCTTTCCCTTCCCCTTCCCTCTTTACTTTTCTCTACTCTCTTTTTCTTTTCTTTCTCCTTTCCTTTCTTTTTCACCCTTTCCATTCCTGTCCTTTCTTCTTTCCTTTTTCTTCCCTTCTTTTTCCTGTTTAGACAAATAATAAAAGCATATAGCTCAAATAAGTAAGAATAACATTGTTTTCAAACTAACAGATATTAAGAGTAAACTTCATTTAAAAATTTTTTTTAATGAGAAAAAAATTTCATTACACTTGAAATTGTAAAAAGCATTACTTTTTATTAGAAAAATGAAATCAGATCCTTTATCAAGCTACCTGAGATGAGAATGGTAATTTGTCAATGTGTTTCCATTTTTGCAGAATGATTTAGAAAGTGGCATGGTGCCATGGGAAGACTAGACTTTAAACACAATAGAACAAAAGAAGGTAGAAAGGCTTGAGCAGTGGGCAGTGGTGGGAGAAGCACTTTAGATTGATCCAAAGGAGAATGGCTAGTGTGTAAGTCTGCTGAATCCTGGAAAGCTGTGCCTGAAGCCTTGCAGGTTCCATCAGGATCTAAGCATTAGTGTAAGTAATATTAATAATGTCTAACTTTGTGAGGTACTTGCTATGACCATGCATAGTTTATCTGCCTTTACATGAATCATCTCATTTAATTTTACACTAGATGAAAGAATCACTCTATGGAGTCCCCAGAATCTGAGAACTTAGTGCTAAGCCTGTGTCCTCATCTACCTGTGCCTGGATGCCCTTCACTGACCTCCTCGCCACTGAGCCCCAGTAGCCTCTGATTCCTTCCCCTGCCTATTCCTTTCTGTCTGGAAGCTTACTTGGTTATCTCTAGCTCTTCTTTTACATTTTGAATTCCCAACCTCAAGCTCCTTATCTCAATTTTATTTTCTGGGCTATGTTGCCTCAGATCAACCTACCAGAAATGACTCCCTACTTCCCAACTTTGGAAACTTCTCTCTGGTTCTATGCCTCATCTCTAAAACAGCTCCTCCTATGATGAAGTTAGTCACCAAAAGTTATTTGTTATTTGAAAAAATAAAATAATAAAATAATATACATGCATATGAAGAACAAATAAATGTCTGAGACTTAGACAAATACTTTGTCTTCAGATGGTATTTCTTTAGAGGCATTGCTGTAAAGTTTACAAATAGGTCCACCTAAATTCATTGTCTGTTGTTCACATACTAAAATAACAACTTTGGGTTACTAAATTATAAGTGAAGAAGTCAGAAAGTTTAAATCAGGCAGAGATGTGGGAGGATGACAAATTAAAAGATTGCCTTTTCCCTGGCTCCTCCCTTTGGTTAGCATGACAGCAAAGTTTGTGTTGACTTTGCCATCTTCTACATTCCACCTCTCTGTGAGTGTTTGTATTTCAGGAACATTCACCAAAAATAATATAGGTTGTATTCTCTCCCCTAGTGTTAGGTATGGGTTGTTTGGGAGCTCTGGTTATCCAGAAGCAGTAGGTCTCTGGTCTTTATAGTAAAGGGTGAGCAGAGGTGTTCTTAAAAGGGGATGCTGTTCCTTTAAATTCTGAAAGTGAACTTGGCTCAGGAAAGCCAGCAGCTCAAGGTCCAGCCCCTAGAAGAGAGAATAGCTACAGATCCTCCATCCTCACTCTTTGCAAGGGGACAGCTGTGCCAGCCAGGCTCTGGCAGGCTCCTGATAGCATGGCAGCAAAGATCGGGGCTCTTCTGCTGGTCCCTGTGCTCATCCTGGCTCAGCCAGCCTCTACACACCGGAAGCTCCTGGTGTTTCTCTTGGATGGTTTTCGTTCAGACTACATCAGTGATGAGGCTCTGGAATCATTGTCTGGTTTCAAAGAGATTGTAAGCAGAGGAGTAAAAGTGGATTACTTGACTCCAGACTTTCCTAGTCTCTCATATCCCAATTACTACACCCTAATGACTGGTGAGTATTCTGTGTCCTCTTCTTGGAGGGGAGGGGAGGTCTTAGTCCAGCAGAGTATATTAACTCCTGGCTAATCTTATTTAAATGTGAATCTTATTTAAATGTGCAGGTTTTCTTAGACCCTTGAGATATAAAAGATGCACAAGAGTCTGTGTTCTTGGCTAAGATTTTTTTTTTATTGTGGTGTTGTACCCCAAAGTTATCGCAAGGACCTATTTTGGATTTTCAATGTGGACAAGAGAAAGCTATATCAGTACATGATATTTGGTGATTTTTTAAAGTAGCTATTTGTTTTACGAATAAAAATATTCTAGCCAACTCTAAATTTTCTAAATATAATTGAATTTTCTAAATTCAAGTGCAAAAAATGGACAGGTCTCCATGTGCCTGTGCCAAATTTCTTTTGTCCCTTTGCTTCACAGTCACCTGTCTTCCTAGAGTTATGTTTGTTGGCTGGTTTATTGATGTGGTGACTGTGCAAGTTACCCATGGGATTCCCCAGATTGGAGTCTTGTTCCTGGCCTACTTGGAGGAGGTGTTAGATCACTCTTCCATGCTCCTTTTCTCTCTTGTCTTTTTGAGCCAGGTAAAATGAACAAAGATGAAAATAATTGTGTAGTTCAGATTCCAGCAGTGGTTTTAACTTCCAGCATCTATAGTAAGCAAGCAAGTAGACAAAACCAGAACTCCCCAAAACAAAACTCCAGTTAACTCAGACTGAGTTTGGGTAAGTGGATTTGCCTAAAGATGACTTTCTTTTGGAATTGCTAGAACTCCAAATATGATTCCACAAGCCTAACCTCTATGTGTACAATAGGTTGTGTACCTTTTTTCTGCTCACTTAGTTGGATCCTCAGCATCTGGTCTGTCTTTCAGCTAACTTTTGTGAGGGCCAGCAAGAGGCTCTTAGAATTTAGCAAACTGCCCAGGCAGGCTTTTAAGCATGCACTGTTATCTCTGGTTATGCAGGACTTAACTGTGTGCTCTGAGTCCAGGGAGAACTCTTGTAAATTATGTTAACAGAAAGGGGATGAGAACTCTGGTAACTCATTACAGATCTCTGCAGAACAGCAAAGTCAAAGGAGTCCAAAAATATGGATATTCTTAACTCTGCACTCTGAGCACACTGAGAACTCAATAAATTACATTAAAAGAGAGGAATGAGAAGTCTGCAATCTCTGACTTCACGTGTGGGTACTATATATATGTATACTGTACATAAAAATGCTAGAAGCTGATACCCAAATTAAAGAAAAGAGATGCTTTGGAGAAACAGAAATGAAGACATGGAGAGAAAAAATATCAGACTGTACACAAGCAAGAAATTTATTTATTTGTTTTTTATTTCCCCCAGCAAACAAATAACCAGTCTCTAAGATAAAGAGAATTAACAAAAGACTCTCTCGTCCTCACTTGGCACACTTCTGCCCTTGTGGGGAAGCAGTTTGCAGGCTGCTGGGTCACACATAGCTGTTATTGTATGTCCCAGCCTGACTTTAGTTCTGTGCTGGGAGTTTCACACATGCAGACTACCCCCTCTCCAGTTGTCTTTCACAGCTTTGCTGGGAGACACAATTCATAAACTGCCACGTGCAGCTTTCTCAATTGCAATGGAAAATGAACAAAATCCATTTTAGGAAGCCAGACTTCAGTAAGCAAAAAGGGACCATTACAAGCTCCACAGAGAAACCAAGCCAGTGACATGTCCTTTTGTTTGTCAGACCCACTTTCCTGATTTGGCACAAAGAGTAATTTGCATAAAGCCTCTGTCACGCTGAGACACACCTTCTTTTCAGCCTCTGGGTGTTTTTGCTTGTCTGTTTAGGACAGAAGAACCCTTTTGATGGTGGGAGAGTGCAAAGACCTTACCCTCTCTTTCGAACTAAGACTGGCCTGAGGAGGTCACAAAATCTCCAAACATGTTATGCTTATTTATTTTCAGATGGAAAAATATATTATCTAACTTGAAATTCAGCTTGGGATATAAGTTAACTTTTCCATTTCTTCTAGAAAAATACTGTACATAGGATATTCTAGCAAGCCTCATGTTTATGAACAAACATGTTTGAGTATGATTTATCTTGTACCTGTTGAGAAAACTCACAGCTTTGGGGGAGAATTTGCAGGCGAGGAGATGGCAGGCCATGAAGTTGATATCACCTGCATTGTCCTATAATTGACTCAGGGATAAATTTAGTCTATTTTTCTAAATATAACCATATGTATTTTTCTACCTGTTGTTGAAGAAAACTCTTCCTTTTCATATAAAGAAAAATATATCCATTGGGGATTATATTTAAACATATGGATTAAGCATTTGAGCACTTTATGACTCAACAAAATTGTTATGCTAGATCTTTTTGGTACCAAAAGATGCTCTGTTTTAGGGTTCCTCGGAATTCACAAAAGAGGCTATGATTTTACTTCATTACACGAATTGTTGTGCATAAGACAGAAAGTCCTTGGTGTTCCTCTCTTTGCATAATGTAGAATGAGGGGTTATTAGGAAAACAATGCTGGCCTTAACCTCAGGAGAACTTACTTAGAGTCCTTATAGGGAAGATTGTGGTTTCCTGGACCTCTGTTTCCTTAGCTATAAAATAAAATGAAATGAACTGCCAGGTTCTAACCAGGCCAGGATGTCAGGTACTGCTTCATGCAAACATGAAAGTAATCAATGATGGGGAACTTAGAGAGTTAGGACTGGCCCTGTTCTGTGGTTTGCTCCCCAAGCCTTCATGCATTAAAGGTTGGTGCTTAGTGTGGTGGTGTTGGGAAATATTGTGGAACTGTAAGAGGTAAGGCTTAGTGAGAGGTCTTTAGGTCACTGGGGGACCTGCCCTCAGAAGGGACTGAGGTAGCTCTTCTGGGCTCTGTGAGCACTTGCCAGAGGGAGGTGTTATAAAAGCCTGGGCCTGACTCCTGAATGTGCTCTGGCTTCCTGTTTCAGGATAGGATTTCTGCCCCCTATGTGTGCCCTCACCATGACGCTATCTGCAGTCACCAGAGACCAAACCAATGGAGTTTCCCAATCTGACATTTTCAGAACTATGAGCTAAATTAACTCCTTTTCTTTATAAAGTTACACAGACTCAGATATTTCACTATAGTAACAAAACATATACTATCACTCTTGGGAGGCTTTCACATAGAAATTAAACAAATGACTAAAATTCCTTAGAGAAAAATTTCCCAGGAAAATTGCATAGATAGTGATGGAAAACCAAGAGTAATATTTGTAAGGAAACTCAGAAGTCATCTAGCTCAATATCTGCATGGAGCCACAGTGGTTGATTATTTTTTTCCCTCCAAATACATTTGCAGTAGGATAAATGTCAATAAAATTCCAATAGTGATCAAGAAAACCAATCAAGCAATTTATTGCTGAGGATGTTGAATCTTAAGCCCTTTTATAGAGGTATCTTTCACTCAAGTTGAAGAGAGATACTTAAAGCATTGATAATCTATTAATATTCTAAAATGAATGACAAGATGTTGTGAGCTGAATTGTGCCTCACTCTTTGCCCAAATTCAAGGTGGCATTCCAGTCCCCAGTGCCTTAGAATGTAATTGTATTTGGAGATAAGCTATTTAAAAGGTGATTACGGTAAAATGGAGCCATTAGAGTGGGACACTCTTCCAATATGGTTGGTATTCTTATGGGAAAAGGAAGACACCAGAAATATGCATGCATAGAATAAAGGCCATGTTACTGCTTAGCCAGAAGGAGGCCCTTTGCAAGTCAAGGTGAGAGGCCTCAGAAGAAACCAAACCTGTCAATACCTTGATCTTGACCTTCTAACTTCCAGAACTGTGAAAAAATAAATGCCATTCAGTCTATGGTACTTATTATGACAGCCCAAGAAAATCAAGCACAAAGGATTAGAGTAGTTTCCCGATGCATGACAGAAGACAGTGGAGAGGAAAATATTTTGAAAGTGGCTTTTACCTAGGAGAAACAGCCACAAGCACCATATAGACCATTAGATCTGACTTTACGTGTAAGATCTCTTTCTGAAGAGCTGCATGTGGGTCAACTTAATGTTAGTTAAAAGGCAACTGCAGTTTAAATGCTATTGGAATGCTTTAAGTTTATCTCACTGTGAGGCTTCTTGTAAAATTATTCTCTCTTTGGAGGTAAATTCACATTTGATTTAGTGAAGTTTAACATAAAATCAATGGAGGAAAGCCATGATTTGTCAATTAGGTCAAAGATTTCCCAAAGTAAGAGAAAAGTCTGCTTATGTTTTGAGGCATCATAATTTAGTGTTGTTTTCCTAAGACAGTTGGGAACATTTTGTTTGTAATTCTTGAATACTTCTGGTTAGGAAGTTGGAGAAAGTGGCCCAGAAATGTCCTGAGTAGCAGGGAAGCTAGTCCAGAATTATATTTTTACTGTGAACAATCCACTAACACACAAACATATGAGGAAATACATTTGGTATGCAGTGTATTATCATTTCAACATTTAAAAACTAGCAAATAAAGTCCAGGGAGGTTGGGGGATTTGTCCTAGATGCCTCAGAATCTCAGTGACAGAACTGAGATTGGAAGATAGGCATCAAAGGCCTGATTCTCTTGCAGCCTTAGTGCAGGGCTCTGAGCCTGAGTCTTGGGCTGGCCCGGAGGCTGTGCACGATGACCTGAGGTCCAGATCAGAGTCTCCCCAGGACCTTCCCAGGCACAGAGAGCCTGAATAATAGTGCTTTATTAATCCTCCATCAAAGTAAAAGCCAGGATATTAACTGCTCAAAATTACTATCTGTGCCAGTGCATTTCCTATCATGTTCCTAGAAATTATGTGTATGCAAATTCTTACCAGATATCAAGAGCCCCACACTCTGCAGCAGTAGACTTGAAGGTAAGGCATGCTTCTTCCCCCTTTTAAGAAAATATCTGATTTAAATTAAAATAGCCATTCTTTGGGCCAAAAGAAATCAATGCAGAGAGTACAGCAACAATTGTATTTTGAAAAAAGCCCACATCCTCAGTCTTCTGAA